ATGTTAAGCACACCAATAAGCAACTTATAACGAAAGATTATATTGATGATGTACTTCAGAAGAATGATCAAAACCAACAAGGAATAAGCCACAAGAGATGAAATAATCTACATCACAGAACATAATGAAAAACCATGAAAAATGTAATTGCGACGACCTCTAGTTGTCGCACAAACCAACATAATGGGAACGTATAAAGTTTCTAGATGAAATCCACCAACAAACTCATTTGCGATCCGATGGCAAACGCTTGTAGTGTTTATTCATCACTGAAGCATTACTTCCTATGGATTGACTGACAAACTACTCGTTCCCACTTCATTTTGTTTATATGTAAGTGGTAATCATTTGTAAAATTAAAGTTCTATTCATCTCTGTCCTGTGAGCGTATGTCATATTCAGTCACATGAAACATCATTAGAAAGCGACATTCCTTTCGCCAACAAATATTGATGGCGCGCTTCCTACACATTACAGAATACTATGTAATTTGAATAACTTAATGCAGTATGGTGAAGGAGGACAGTAGCGTGTAATTGTTTTATTTCTATAAATAACTGAGGTCAACTGACAAGTATGTCCAAATCACACTCTCAGATAAATAACAATATCATTAATGTTGTTTCGAAACATAAACCAGCTTGCAAAGATTTTGAGATGGAAAATTGTTTAAAGATGATGTACATTATCATAACACTTGCTCAGAGTTCCATAAGTCTTCCTTGCATACGATATTATGAATGATGATAGATTGTTGCATTTCTTCATTTCCTGTTGTTCTTTCATATTATTTTGTCTACATCTTTTTTTGAATCATAAAGTCTTGGGTCATTTTTCCCATTGTTCTTTTTTCTTGTCTTGAATGATGATAGAATTTGATGACTGTCCCTAATAATTATCTGCAGATCTTTTATTTGTCATTCATAGATGTTTTCATGTGTTAGTTCTATATGCCTTTGTCTTTTCAATCTATTCTATCAGTAGAAGTACTTTGTTTTAAAAAAGACATAATGATGAAGTTGTTTGAACCCTATTGCACGAATAAGGAAAAATGAATTGCCGTAGAGGAACAGTCGGATTCGTCTAACAAAAAACGTGGGCAAAACGTACACTGTTGAAAATTCGAAGGTAATTCAGTGATTACCATATTGATAAGACCACAGAGTGAAAATGATTGTATGACAATATAATGTATGTCCCTCATTTAAAATACAAAAGCTGATGAAATATTAGTAGTGATTTTTCGTATGGATGACTTCATGCTTATAGAGTTGAATACGTTTCTAATATTCTATCATAGTGACTCAACAAATTTCAATACATCTCTTCAGATTTCATGACAAAAAGCGAGCAACTTATTGTTGTTAGAATATCAGCATGCACTAATCTGTATCCACAGTCACCTATTAAATTCGTATTACTGAGTAATCATCATTTAGACATATATATTTCTAACATTCTATCACGGTGACTCAACAAATTTATTTAGCAGTCGTGATTCTTACATTACTTCGTGTATAAAATAAATGGGTCGGAGTGTCAATAACGAGTGCAAGACAATTCGGCGACATTAGATTAAAAAACGTTTCGTAAACCAACTGTATAACTGCGACCGTACACAGAATCTTCAACGTCGATTACTGTTCACAGTGGGCCACTTAGCGTAAGTGGCGATATTTATTGAAGATTGTCGTAGTGTAATTAATACGACCAAAATCAGTTTCCGTATCACCACTCCAATATTTGTCGCATCAATTTGCGAAATTATTATGCATAACTATTAAATCAGTGTGAAATATTTTGTAAAACAATTTGAAGTAGTCATTCATATAGTGTGAGCAAGTAATTAATTTTGTGGAGGACGTCTGCTTCAACTAAATTCAACTGGAGAAGACAAATCATTGTGTTGCTCGTAAGAAAAATTAATTAAAACCGATGGCGAATATACCTTTTTAAATACAAGGCGGTCTAATGGATCTACGGTTTTCCAGACTTTCTGTTCTGTCAGTAGAAAAACACTCAAGATATAATCAACGTTAACCTCACATTTAAATCGGTTTTCGGCACATATTCTACATTTAAATCTGCCAATGTATAATTTTATGAACACATTTTACTACCACAATCGTCATCAAACAAATCCGAGAATTCAAACATAATTGCCAACTTAAGATACTCACAGTCCGTTGAACGATCACCATCAGCGAAAGACTATTGCAGAAAAGAACTGTAGCGTGGCGTCGAGTCGATATTGACTATGAACACCGCTACAAAAAACACGTGCCAAATAAATCAGAAGGCGAGGTTGGACGTAACCAAATAAATCCATAAAATCCCCGAGAAGCCAAATATCAGAAGGCAGTTAATGGACCAAGTCGAGGTATATTAGCTGGCGATCTCGTGGCATCGAAAGGATACCGAGATCGTGCCAGGATACAACCTTGGTTACAGACGTAACCGAATTCGCGCGAAGTCACAATCAAAGTGTGTGAAGAAGAATGGAAGCACAAAATAGCTGTCTTTAGCACAGTCAAACAAAAGCACATTAAAACAAACACCGGTACAGTTGGTTATAATAATAATTGTTTTTATTAAACCAGTCGTGTTCTCGTGATTAATTTGAGTCACTACAGAACAAACCGGCGTTCAGATGGAGATGAAATAAGAAAAAATCACTGATCTGAATAGGACATATCTCGAATTTTATGTTGGATTAGCAAGGGCGACCTGCTTGATCATCTGGGCTACCTGTTCTTGCTATCTACATATTTCAACAAGTTATCTATTTTTGTTTGTTTTAATATATCACTATGTTTATTAATCGCATAACCTATTCTGCTGCGTTTCTGAAAATTGTACAACCTTTCGTTGTCAAAGTTACAAAAAACAATAAGAGACAATGTGGTTGCTGGCAATATACAACGGAAAGAATGCAGATTATTCAGATGTTCATTTACTGGACTGCTAACACCTAACTGGCGATCACTCAATATCTATCGCCAGGATCGACCAAGAAGAAAGAAACAGAAGCTTGTTGAAATACTCTACGCTAAGAATTCCATATTGTACCAAAAATGTAATATTGAATAAAGCGGATAATAATAAAAACAATAATAAAAATAAAAATAATAAAACTAAACAGACAATCCCTGACATGCAATAGGGAAAGGTAACAGTAAACTGGTTTGTCAAAGTACGCTCTAAGTTGTGAACGTTTAGCAGGAACAATAGAATTAGAAGAATATGTAAGCTGGAAAAGATTGTCCAGAAAAGAAGCGATGTGAATTCCGTAGTGCGACTTATGCAACTTCACAATATGCAATAGTCGTTAGTAAGTAAGCAAGCGAGCAATAATGTAAACTTGAGAAGCAATCATTTAAAGTTGTTCAGATTGCTTATTTGGTTAGTTTAACTGTTCCATAATAAAATTCGGATAAACCATAATCTTGTTTTGAAGTATACAATTTACCTCAGTAGAATTTATCGGTTGACAATACATGACCATTATACGTCAGATCAAATCCGGTTGATTCACAAATTATGCTCTGAACGGTAACGCTTATTAAAGTTTAGCAAGATATTAAATGTCGACCAACAATCATATTACTAAATACCTCAGCAGATTCACCACACCCTAATAACAGCCTTCATCACTCTTCTCCTTTCTTACGAAAATCTAAGAACAGAGAATGACGAACAGTAAACAAATACCAGTTCATGTGACGGAATTGGTAAACTGAAAGTGATATTGTCGCGAAAACCCAAACGAAATCGTCTCTTCACGTGGTTAAACAATAGGTGAAATATACAGGTGGGTAAAAGGCGACACTTTACTTAATACTTTGTAATCTGAATCATCCTGGGAAATATATCTGATTCACACTATCACATACACAGGTCAGTTCTCTACTGGTAATGAGATACTGATGAATTACACAGAATGGATAATATATCAGTGAAACAATTTTGATGTTGATTAATTCATGAAACTTCACAACAACTCTTTGCTCAGCTACAGACTGATAGCTCGGTAAACAACCTTTCAATCACTCTCGGTATATTACTCAAGGTAAACGACATACTTCTGCTTTACCAAGGAGAAATAATATATAGAAAACACCCAATCACAAAGATTCCTGGCTTATTTCTCTGTCATTATTATTATTTGAGAACGCATTGACTGTTCATCCTTCATGAAACTTCTATATCAGCTTGAATTAACTATACCTTTGTCATTATCTTACCACAGTAATTTACACGTATGTATTACCACAGTCCTTAAATAATAGAAGACCATATGATATGTGCAACCATTTCGTTGAATTACCGAAATGGAAATTAGTCTCCTCCTAGTGTATAAACAATTTTATTCCATTCACTTGGTATTGTGTGACTTGTATCTTCCCATTGAGGTTTAAGACTGAAATTGATCAGTCTGTTATTGCCATATGTGCGTACTGTGCGTATGCCTTGGTATTGTATGAATTCATAAGCTTTTTGTAAGCAACGATGCATAGTGGCTAGCAGTGAAATCCAGTTTGACGCGCGTTTCATCCTACTTGAGACTCGTCAGCTAGATGTACCTGAATCTCGGAGTTGATGATCACTCTGTGACTCGAACCCAGTATCATTCGCTTCAAACGCCATCGCGTTATCCACTCAGCTACTGAGTGACACAATTTTTTATCTGAACAATTAGTGACTATATAACGGACAAAACACAACGTAAGTGACTTTTTCATACAGTTAAATTTCATATTTCAATAGCGTTAAAAAGATTTTTTAAAATAAAATTCAAATGGAAAAACTGTAAATCCGTACATTCAATGAAAACATTTTGTGTTACTTTTATTTTAACCAATGAAGTCAAAACAATGCAACATACACAGCTAATTAACAGATTATTACAAACAATCAACTGTTTGTTCGCAAACATATGAGCAGATAACTTGAACTAGAAGGTAATCAATCACTTATTCTTATGTGCACCTACTCAATTAAAGTGAGGCTCCATCAATATAAGTCACGTTTTTTAAACAACATTGGATATAAGTTAGCTTAAGTTCTTAACAGCCACAAGAATATGGAGTAAATATGAGTTAATTGTGCCACCATGACAGGTTGCCAAAAAGCGTGATTTTATCTTTTTATGATCACTGTAAATCATCAGATGAAAAGACAGACTACAAATACCTAAAAGATCTATATAAACGTGACATATTCTTTTGAAATATGATATACTGACTTTAACGGGAAGATGAAGTGAGTGTTAGCAACGATCATAATGTAAATGAGTGTATCATAAAATTGAAGTTTTATTTATTGTGATAACATTGTTCTGTTCATTGGATCGTTTTTAGGAACAATTTTCAATATGCTCTATTGATACGATTTTTTATGATCTTGAATGTGTTTCCCGAATTCTTCGGTTGTCAAGACATTTGTAAGCAACCTGAATTAAATAAATTTGAAAATCTAATTTCTCAAAGTGACTCATATCGATATGTAAGTAATCAGTTGATTTTATTTCCATTCACTTATATATTCAGTCTCATTATTTCAGTTATTCACAAAGAATTAGACTCAATCAGTTCCATCCAGTTGTGAACGGTAGTTTTACCAAAATTTATGGTACCACAGTAAGTTGTATATAATTTGTGGTAGAACAACTTATTCATATGTTTTCATCATTTCAGGATATTGAGCTGAATTTCCCATTTAAATATTATAGTAATCATGTCAAGAATTTGAGTATTTACACGAAAGGTAAGCGGATAAACTTTTTTTTCTGTCAAACTTGTAAATCATATGACGCATGACAGCAAACTTACCACGATGTCAAATTATCGATCATATTTTATACGAATATTCATCAAGATTAGAACGAATACTTTGACATTAATTGATCGCCGAGTTGGTCTTCCTTCCTTGGAAGGAAGATCAACGAACCGAATTAAATATAGTATTTTCTACTCTTAGGGATAACAACTACGCAAAAAGGTTTTTAAAGAAGATTATTAAAAATGAGAAAAAAACTAAACCGGAAAGTATACGAAAAGAATGGAACTACACCGTAGTCATACCTTACCGTAGTGAAACATGAGAAGAAATCAAATGGATTCTAAACAAACATGATATAAGAGTGTATTTAAGAGCGAATCACACATTAAGATCGACATTGGTGAAAGTTAAGGACAAGTTAGCAAAGGAAGAACAACAGAACATTGTGTATGAGATTCACTGTCATGACTGTAATGCTACCTATGTTGGAGAAACATCCAGGCAATTGAATGTAAGATTGAAGAACACAAACAATGCTTGAAAAATGTTCCAAAAACCTCGGTTAATTTAAAAAAACTTGAAAATAAGTCAGCGATAGCGTTACATGCGTTAGAAACAGGACAGAAGATTAATTTTGAAGGGACAAAAATACTTCAGAAAGGTTTTAACACCCATAAAGAAAGATTGACAACAGAAACGCTGCATATATGGGCGAACAAGAACAGCCTGAACCGAAAAGATGGTATTCAACTGGTAACTACATGGCAAATATCATTTGACAAGTAAAATTTGGAACCTATCTCTTGTTTAAACCTGTTTTGAAAGAACTCCATGAGTATTTTAAACAATACAATTTCTGTTTTGACATGTATATCGATGTTTCATTATCAATTTTTCATCCTTGGACTTGAACTTTATTTATTCCTTCATATCAATCTCTCACACATACACACATTCATACCTACACACACTCACACACATACGATTTGTTACTCGGTTAAGTATTTCGATGTAGTTGAATTCCTCACATGATTTGTAGTTAACTGATTCATTTTATCCTATTTTACATAAAAAAAATCAACATCCAAATATGATTGATTTAACACAGTATAATCCTGATTGTTAAAAAAGCTATATATTTCTTTGATAATTTTGAGATTGATTATTCCACCCTGAAGAAGTCCAGACAAGTTAGCTGGACGAAACGTTGGAATTAGTTAAATTTCAATCGCTGAGAATATTTTAAATATAATTTTCACATATCAAACATATTGCCTATTTTCTTTTCATTGATACAGGTGAGATAAGTATATATGGTGATCATTACCTTGGAGATATTCTAAGTTTTATAACAAGCAAATTACATTATGAACTTGAGGTTCTAAATACCAGTGAGTTTTTATAGTATACAGTCAAGACTTGTTTAATTTCACTTTCTTACAATTTGATATGCGTAAATGATTCAGTATTCAACTTGATTTTTACACTGCAATTGATTAGCACACATTGATTGTTTTGTCCATATAATTTTAATGCCAAAACAACGATGTTAAAACAAGTATTGCTTATTCTCAAATGAAAATATTGAATAAACTAGTAATTTATCTGAAAATAAACACACATTGATTGTGTAGAAATTACAAACCACTTGAGATTATTGCTAAAGGGAAAAGTAATTAGTCTATAGTGTATTGAACAACAAAGTAGAAGATCTTGTAGTGACTCACATTTATCACGAGAACACGACTGGTTTAATAAAAACAATTATTATTATAACCAACTGTACCAGTGTTTGTTTTAACGTGCTTTTGTTTGACTGTGCTAATGACAGCTATTTTGTGCTTCCATTCTTGTACTTACACTTCAATTGTAACTTCGCGCGAATTCGGTTACCCTCTGTAACCAAGCTTGTATCCTGGTACGATCTCGGTATCCTTTCGATGCCACGAGATCGCCAGCAAATATACACCTCGACTTGGTCCATTAACTGCCTTCTGATATTTGGCTTCTCGGGGATTTTATGGATTTATTTGGTTACGTTCAACCCTCGCCTTCTGATTTATTTGGCACGTGTTTCTTTGTAGCGGTGTTCATAGTTAATCACGACTCGACGCCACGCTACAATCTAATCATCATGAAACTTCTCGGTAAACTAATGGATTAAACTGATAACGTGTGCAACAACAAGCGATGGTGTATTAGTCAATATGAATTATTGAAGTATATTACCTTTTGAATTATATTTGTTGTTCTTCAATAAAGTTTAGCGTCTTTCAGTTGTTATCCATTGGCCATTGAATATTAAACACAGTCTTTGTAATCATACCCAACCAATGATCGACCATGAACAGTTTGGTGTAACAAGATGATTTTCACAAATCAAAACACTTTGAACATCAAGTGAACATACATTGATTATGTTAAATTTTCATAAATAATGACTAACAGAACTTCGGAAAATGCTTTAGTATGAATATTGTCGAAGAGATATTAAAGGTTGCTTACTTTTCTCAATGAGTTGTATCAAATAGTTTATCATATCTTTAAATATGTAATATTCTTTGAAACTTTCTTATTGAGCAAAATTAACTAAACAGTTTGATTTAAATATTGAAATGCAAGTGATATACGGTATGCAAACATAGTCCGTTTTAATAACATAAATGTATCGATATAAATATGCAGATTAGTTTCCTGTACACGGACCGTCTAATAGTGCCATCATCCCTTCGACTTAAAAGTATGTCTAGAAAGGCTAATTGGCAGATTAGTAAAATCAATTTCTAATTCTATTATTTCAGAGGAATTATTCGTTGTCAAATCGTATATTATACACAAAGTTGATCCTATATGTAAGTAAACTTTGAGTATTTATTTCATCACATATATGTCATATTCACACTCACATCTTCACTCATTCTGACTGCTTAAATATTTTATTGTTCAGTTTGAATTGAACAAAAGGATAAAAAATTGTCCATCATAGATAAATGAAGTAAAAATCTCATTCAACTTGTAGACATATGGAGATTTGTTTCGTTCTCAGAACTGAATGAAAGTAAATTAGAAGTGTGTTTCACAGAATAATTTAGTTGTGTTGTACATTCATCACATATCTATTTCCTTATACAACATATTCACCCACATACCCATTTATCATATGAAAGAATTGTGAAAGCGACATATCTCAAGTTATTCGTTGTTCATCTAAAATAAACAAATCTGTCCTCTTCATAAATAAAATGATCAAAGTCAACTGATCAATCAAATGTCTATATATTACGTAACTAATTAAATTCTCAAGTTTTATTTGTAAACAAATATTCCATACCTGTCGATGATTGTTTCCAGGGAAATTATAAGAAAAAACCCGGCTTCATTGGATACACCTTCAACTAAGAGATCTTATAGAGAAAAAAAAGTGATGATTTACTAATTCACTAATAAAGATTCTGTTATGACTTTAAATTGTGGTAATTATTGGTGTATTCTTCCACATCTACAACAGATTCAGAAACTGGGCATGGTATATTGATTTTTAAAAATGTATAGCTATTTCATTTACTTGATTATATTTCTTACAATTGAAGTACATACAATAGCACAGTAAATGTCAACTAAAATCTGATCATTAAGTTAGGATACACAGTGTTACATCTAACAATAACTTGTTCATCATTTATCCTTTCAAATTTCAAATATCAATTAACTTTCAATTATAGATGTTGCAACCAAAATAACCAACCTGATATATCCGAATGGAAAAATATCTATCTATTTTGAAACGGTCAGTTGTACAATAGAATGAAAGTATAATTGTAAATCAACTAATTCAGATTAACCATTAGACCACTGAGCCGGCATCCAACGGTCTTAATGTCTAACTTCAACCAATCCACCAAGTTGCGCTACCATATACCATTGTCTTCAGTGAGCTGATATCTCACAACAGACCTGGTTGTACTCTACTGGTAACGGCTTCCCACTACAACTCCAGGAGTATCTCTTGAAGTCAGTCACTAGTGAGCAGATGATTATTATCAGAAGGGGTTTGTGGAAATTTTTAGAAATTTTCACAGATTGAAATCATGAGTCAGTTGAAGCTAGAGTACCATTAAAAACCTGGAAGCACTGGATGCCGGCTCAGTGGTCTAATTGTTAAGTGCTCGCGCGCGAAGCCAGTGGGTCCTGGGTTCGAGCCCCGCGTCGTGCGGTATCGTGGATGCGCACGCTGAGGAGTCCCATACTAGGACGAAACGGCCGTCCAGTACCTCCAGGTTTTCAATGGTGGTCTAGCTTCAACTGACTCATGATTTCAATCTGTGAAAATTTCTAAAAATCTCCACAAACCCCTTCTGATAATTTAGATTACTTTAACATTTTGTGCTTATTAAGATTGTTGTAAGCAATAAATTGCATAGAACTTCATAGAAATTGTTCAATATTTTGAAGTATGCTAACAGACTATTTGACATCATAATTAATTTTCTTATGATATGTTTTATTCAAGGACTTGTTAAAAAAAACCACTGAATAATCAGAAATGAATTGCTATCAGGAAACCTAATTATGTCATTTGTGACAAATAGTAACAAATATTCGATGTTAGATTAATGCACGAAAAATGGTTAAATTTTGTTAAGCTTTACTTCGCCTTGTGAAAATTGACTGAGCAGAACGTTCATTGTTGAATATTTTGAGCAAAATCTATCACGATCACATTTTATTTCAATAGATGCAGATATTCACCATACACTGCATCGTTCCATGTCATGATATAGAGATAGATGTATCAAACATTAATGAATGTAACAAATGAAGTGATTCAGAATATCCGTGCAAACAACATGGAATATACATCATAGCTTACTGGGAATACTGTGTGTTCTTATTTAAGAGAATCTGAATACAAACACATTATTTCTCTAATCAATTGATTTCGATGTAGGTGTTTGTGTAATGAATGATTTTAACTCGGACTAAAATTCTTTTTTAGGTTCCTACTGATGTTGAGAAAACGGAGTGGATTTCGGAAATTAAATATCAACACCAGTGTGGAAAAAGTAAGGAATATTTTGACGAATTTTGTTAATATTTTGATACAAATCATCAACCATCTCTTAATGTTATATTACTCTCAGTGAATACCTGGTTAATAAAACAGAAAATTCCTTATTTATCTGAATGTCTTAATGTGATTCACGTAAAATCCATATAAATCAAAGGTTGAATATCTAAAACAAATAACTAAGATGTCATTGAAGTGTTGTGGATTATTCTGCGGAATGAAATTAGTGTACCTTATTTTAAAGACACTACCAAAACGTTATTGTATATTAAATGCTCGTCGTCATGTGAATCATTAAATTTTTCGTTGCGGTATTGCAGCATCATTCCTATTTACTGAAAACAGTAGAATTAAATCAACAACGCAATCGAAATTTGCGATTGTGTTTTCGGAACAATGAATTACTGTAAATAACTGAAATGAAATGAAATCAACTGTGTCTTCAATTGACAAATCGTCATCTTTGTAAATTTGACATAAATGATTTGAACTGTCGACGTGAAAAATACTGTAGTTGATTCAGTTTTCTTTGTTTAATTCCTTATTCATTAAATTTTAGAATCCATATTTAATGATGCTCACCTAACCAGATACATCAAAACAGATAGATAACTCATGTGTGTTTATTCGGTGAGATATTACGCTCATAGTCACCGATTGACTGATCGAGATAGGGATGCAGGAAATACGGTATTGAGCAGACGAAATATGTACCATTTTACTTATTTACTCACAATAGGACAGTCACAATTGAAGTCTTCAGTCATATGCTATAGAAGGTGTGTTTTGTATGAAACAGGCATAAACGACTGATACTTCGAAATGACATTTTCATTGTAAAGTGCTCAACAGTCGTGCTTTTATGAAGTAATCCAGTGTTTGTGAAGGAGGAACAGAGTTTTTAGACCAGCGATGAATGTGATTTTGTTGGACATAGTGTTTTCACGATTGAATATGAGTAAATGCACTAAATATTTAGTCAGTTGATATATTTGATCAGTCAAAATATTTTACCCAGTCTTTAAACAGTTAATTACTTCTCCATTCTTGTATTGTTTGTTTGAATTCTCTCATTGCTGTTTCGAACTGCGATTGATCAGTCTCATATTGATATATGTGCACCCTGTGAGGATTTTTCCTATGAGACCTCACTTCACATGCATTGTGAGCAAAATTTAATGGTGGCTAACAGTGGAATCAATTGAAGCCTGGGTGATTAACGGAGTATATCGATAAACAACAGAGAAATGAATTAAAAGCTAACTCATCACTCAAGTCAGTGTCTATCTGTATTTAGTAGCTAAGTCTATGACAAACGGTGACGAAAGCGATTGATAAGCGCCTATGAAACAAAATCAAATCTGAGATGCATAAAATCCAGTCAACAAGTCCTCGATAAGACGTGACGAGCATCTGGGACTTCACTAAAAGGCAACATTCTTCCCTGGTCCGTAAATTACTGTGGTGCTTTTTTGTAATTTACGATGTGATGAAATGTTTTCTATTTAAACCTAATTTTTAAAGATCCTGCACAGATGTTTTTGTATTATACCTCTGAAACTTACCGACCCTATTTTCACTTACTGATCAAACGATACTCGATTTCGAAACCTGCAGCAATGCAGACTATTGTTTTTGAGGATGGCGAATGATCATCACAAACTTCATCATGAAACATTGTTCAGCTTCTTATTTTGACCGCTAATTATATGTTGCAAACAACTTGTTATATTTGAATAAAAAATAAAATTTCTGAGTATTTTTTCTGTGCGATTTATTAAACAAGATGTTACTGAATTTGAGATATTGGTACCCGTAAACTGGATCACAAGTGGCACGTTGGTGGAGTTTGAAGTCATCGGGGGTAGGTTGAACCTTATTTAATCATCATTACATAGTTTCGCTCTTTAATGCATGACGTTTGGCTCATCCAATGGAAAATTCCATGTGTGACTGTATTCACCCGTTGAATTACATTTGGGCATCCGTCTCAAATGAAGTTTCCCCTATCACCAACAACAAGATGTTGAGTAATAAAAATGATTTACGATCTATTTCATACTAATATGAAAGTATCCACATGGATGGAATTCGCTTATAAACATAAGCAAAAAATTATAGATGAGATGATATCAGTCTCAAAAATGATTTGGTTTCACTTGAGTGATTGTATTTTGATGAGTAAGCGCCCGTTGATTTGCTTTTGAGCCATAGGACGTTGAATTTCCCTGAAGCATTGAAACTGCGAAAACTCTCCATAAGACTGATATTACATTGAAAATGATTACCCCACTTCCGAAAACTCTGCATTTTCATACATATCCAATAAATTTAAGATAAAGATGAATCAATTGTCCGAATTACAATTCATCATAGTCGATTTCAATATTAATTTCACTGCGTGAAACTATATTCCTTCTTATGAATATGTTTACTGAGTAATTACAAACAGATTTCAGTTCGCCAGCGTTAAGACTACTGAAATAACATTTTGACAACTGAAATATTCGTCACACGATCTGACATCATGAACACAGGCAGTAAAACAATCAGTGACAACTTCGTGTGTTCATCTATACATTAATAAAATCTACCAAAGTCGTATGTCGATGTTCATCGTTCAAACGTGGCAGTCAACGAGGCTTCACCCAATTCAAATATATCGTCATGAGATTAAAAGTAAGCTGAATATAGCATTCTGGAGTATGATGACAATTTCCCAAAGAAAGAAGTAGTCACTTTACACTGAAATAATCATTGTAAATTTGATTTGTTTAATAACTCCAGATCAAATCGCCCTTTCCTTTTCACAGAAACGTGTCCAAAATACAATTCCACTGAAGTATGCCAAAAGGCAAAATCATCGAATATGAAATGCATTTGGTGTGAAAAGGCTAAAAAATGCATAGAGAGTAATGATCAGGGTACTCATGAATTGAAAGTTAATGATTGCCGTATTAAGGTGAGTACATGTTGAGCATCACAAGCCATTCGTAATATCACCTCATTCCACATCTCAAGTAGATCCATTTACTTGCAAAATCAATTTGTTGCTATCAATAAAAACAAACTTGTATTTTTCCCTTAATCACTGAGTGAAAAATTTATAAACGTTGAGAATATGTAAACAAATATGAAAACAATGATTAGATGTGACATCCAGCATACAAATTTCACTACCCAAAATATTGGTCTATTCGTTATAAGATAGTTTATTCTTAACACAGTGATTGTCAAATTGGTAGTAGATGCTCTATGTCATCGTACAAATGCAAATTGTGTAACTGTTTGCTTAATGTTCTTGAATAATATGTTGTGTTCAATAATAAATGCTATTGTTTCGTTAATTCAGAAGACACGGATGTTAACGATCAGACTACGTCAACATCCATCATTCTTACTGAAAAGACATCGATGATCAATGAAACCCAAGTTAAACAAAACTTGAAGGCGACTACCAAAGAATTGGATCAACATCTGGTAAATATTTAATATTCATAAATAAATGCTTCTGTTTTACTTTCCTTCAGAATATCACTACTGGACTAACCAAAGAGAATACACAAAGCACATCGTTTCAGAACACATATGTTGTTGTTCCTTTGGTCGTATCATTTTTCTTTTTTTGTATCAGTATTGTGATTTCTGGATGGTTGTATAAAAAGATGAAAAGTAGAAAATGATTTTCAGCAACGTCTTCGAATGGCTTTATATATTCCGATCATGTTTTGTTCCTATTTCGTTTATCACATAAAAACTTTAAACATGAATATTCATTTCATTAAGTTGAACAATTTTTACTAAGAAACTATGTAAATTCTTATTCTTCTTAAAGTAATGTTCAATGTTGACAAATTATCAAACATGGTTTTCAATATTTGCGTGCTTGTTTTGAAATAACCAAAACTATATTAATTTACAATGGTCAAATAAATATTGAATTGTAAATTAGTAGTATTGTGTTTAGAAGAGAGATTGTGATAGTTGCGATCAACAATGATTCTATCGTGAATGATTAGGTCTCATTACCGAAAAATATCATTTGAAATTGCCGACATTCCATTGTCTTTGAATAATCCGCTTGAACACATTACGAATACATAATTATGCACTTGTTTGGTCACTGTTCACTACATGATGTGTGACAAACACTTCTTAAGTCATTGTTATGTAGACTAGTTATCATTCTTTTCATGATTTTATCATTGACAAGGACTTTATACGATCAATCCATTCAATTAAAGCTCACTCTTTAGAAAAGCCTATGATGAAATACTCTCCACGAGCTTCATTGAACATTGTGATTCTTCGATTTAAGATTTGTTACTGTTGAGGAGTCCCGTATTAGGACGAAACGACCGTCCCTTGCTTCCTGGTTTTTCATGATGGTCTAGCTTCGATTGACTCATGATCTCAACCAAAAACTTATCAATTTCCACAAGCCCTAAACTGACAAAGACCTATTAGTTTTGTCTGTTCACTTCAGTTGAGTTATAGTAATTCAGCGTCCTGTATGTATGTGGTACACATACAAACAACGCAGATGTTTTCAGTAAACTTTGTATGGTGTGAAGCTCATATAAAAAAACGTTTCTCTACAGACTCCCGAAGACAGACTGTTATCAGTTTTGATTACGATTGCCGCTCATTGTGGTTAATTGTTTAGTGGTTAAGTTGTTCCCCACCCATGTTTCACAAATGAACAAATAACCAATAAGTGAACTAAATGATCCTTAATTTCGATGAAATAAGTTCAGTTTTCGTGGTTGGCATAAATTGTCATTTGACAAGAGACTTAGTTCTGTTCTGGGTTATCTGCTTTTTACATAATACGTCCTTAATCTAAGAAGGTGTTTTTTGTGCATTGGTTTTCCAACGTCAATGACACTTTGATGATGGTCATTATTTTGAAAATGTCATGAAGCAACCAGCATCAATTTGACCAGAACCGTACAAAATTTCTCACTAATATGCCGTTTATTAGGCGTTCTTTAATATTTTACCGTTTTATTTCTCAAGGAGAAAAGCTCTTGCTTTGTTAATCTACTGAAAATTCTGTGGTGTGATGACGTACTTTAAATTCACTCACCTTGTGAAGATTCAGCACCCGTCAACTTGAACGCTGATATGATTTTGAGAAAGTAATCGACACTTCAGATGTATACCAAGGATTGTCAAGTACGGTTGAAATTCTAATTGTAAACGAAAAATCCCCGTTTATTTGCCAAACGTGATTCGTTTTCTACAAGTTAGAATTTCGGCCAAGGTGATTATGCTTTTGTTCCTTTTTTGTTAAATAAATTTCAATAGAGGACAATTTAGTGTTGGAACAAACAAATATTTGACAAGACACACATTTTGATGGCGGACGTCTTTCATGGTTTGTCGCACAGCAAACAATTGTAAAATCTGTCTATAGTCGAACGGCGGCCCTTCAAAATAGACTTGACAGCCAGTGTCATCTGGACCCTATGAAAACATTCATTCAAATTATCATGATCCTATCTCCACCAAATACTACGTACTTGTGGCCGTCGATTCTCCGAGGTGACTCCAATGTTTTTCACATTCGAACAGCTCGTTTGCATTTTATTGTTTCCTGCTTATTTTGAATTCCGAATAAAAAACATCTAGATATACTCAACGTTGTCTCTCTGAACTTGTGCTGGTACATACAGAACTACAACAGTGCTGATCAGTCCTTAGATGTGTCATTAGTAAATATTTCAACTTTATTTATGTTCATCACACGAAAGCACTTATAGCAAATTTACACAGAATAATAGTGAACCGAATGTGATCAACACATACGTAGCAGAAATTTTTGTTTGTGAAATGATGCATAGTTCATGTCGATTTTTCGTGTACTCTTACTCTCAAATACCCTTCGAATAATGTTTATCAAAGCAGAAGTCAAAGTTCTCCTATTCAATCAATTATCAAAATCATTACAAAGTCATTTTTACTTTTAAACTAGGGCAAAAATACCGATACTTGCCAACAGTAACTGTTAATAAAAAGAATAAGCATAGGAAAAAATGACAACCAACAAAAGAAAGTTAGCTATGTAAATCAAGTACACACAAATCTCTGAGGTTTGTTATAATTTAGAACGTTTTAGCGAATTCTGCCCTGAGCACTTTAATTTTTCTAAGCACTTTCTGGAATGTAAATTTGAATGAGCTGAATGCACATCAAAAATCCAGTGGTTCTGAAACCAGTGTAACAACTGTTATTTGGTCTTCAACAAAGGTAAATGAAGCCAAATATATCACGTTTGATCTTTCTTAACGTCGAGGAGTATTCGATTTATGTAATACTTTTAGATTATAACAATTTGCTATTTAAGTTTTTCTCAGTTTCGTGGACAATTAATGAAGCTCTTATGAATGCATGTATATTGTTATTCCAACAACAAAAATTTTGTTCAGTTTAAATAATAAAACACCAACTATGAGAAAAACTGACGATAAATAAAATACAACAGTGAAGACAAACCAATCCTTAGAAATAATTAGGTAAAATAATTAATTTCTTATATATATATATGGGTGCAAAACCAATAACGAGAACTTATATTTATATCAGGTTGTGGCGCTGGATAGGAATTTTATGTCAATACCTGTTAGTATTGCATTTTTAAGTCGCGAAACAACGACTTTGTTTTTTCAATTACTGTCGTTCTTCCACCGGTCAACTAACAATTGAGAGGTGGTTGGCATTGTGAAAGTGATTCACCTCCAATAGCTGCTGCTAACACAAGGGTGTATCCGAATTTCCACTACATTTTGTGTCGTGTACACCTAATTCGTAATGCCATACATAGGGTAGGTTTTTCGTTCCTTGACATTAACCCATTTAAAGTAGAGGGTACGATCTGAAGTTATACAACAATTCTTTCGTTTGATGTTCACTGGAATTGTGGAAAGGTAAATCAAAATCAACATAAAATTATTTTGTAGTTTTCACCTTTATCTGTCGTTAATCGAAACATCCGACGAAACGTTTTACCGATATGTGAGGTCGTCATGTCGGTGGATTTTTTCACGGCTGTGGACGCTGCCGGCATTACCATGATCTCGCAAAATACCACCAACTGGTCTTGTATTTTCCATATTGAAAACGGAACGCCATGTCGTCACATTTTGGCCTAATGCATATACAGTAATACTGAAGGGGACACACAGTTAATTTGTGTCAGGTGGTTGCAGCCTGACAGTTACGTCACCAATATCGCGATTGCGAATTATTTCTCAATCAATTACGACAGTCAAGCTTCAAGAAATCGTTGTATGCCCTAGTCAAGCAAATACCCAAAAAACAATGCAGTTTGGTGTATAACACTGTTTATCAAGTTGTTCATGTTAGAATGCCTTCAACGTCGTTGAACCTAACTGCAGTTACGCAGTTTTTCACCGAGGCCAGCACATCCACTCATGTTCCAGTGCTCTTAATGAAATAGAATTCAGTTACGAACTATCAAGGTGACGTCTATTTGAATGAAACATTCAGTAATGACGAGGGTGAAATAGTTTCTATTAACTCCGAACAGTTCACGGAACGAGACATCAACACTGAAGAACATGCATATTACAACAGACTGTATGATATATGTCATCTTGCACAGCCTCCACATGAAACAACTGATGCAGATGCTTAGGTTTTTTTCCATTCGAAGCTATGTTTCAATCGTTTTGTGCTTACGACCCATCAGTACTCGTACGTGGAGTGCACTGTCTCATGTGCAGGGCTATATCCAACTCATAGTTACGCCCTCCTTCAACAAAATCTGCATGGTTAAGACATCGAGTAAAGGCTCTTTTCAGGCCCCTCACAATTTGATTTACATTATTTTGTTTCCATCTCTTATTTCTATGTCAAAAGTCAAGTGATGAAACAAATATTGTTGTCAAATTAATTTGATATTCGTTTGAGGTCAATAATCATAATGCGATTAGCGCTCATGTATTCCTAAACTATTTTATAACGTTTATGAAATATAAAGTAAGCGATTTCTTTTAAAAGTATATCTCATCTAATGGACACTAATCTAATAATTTCAGATTTAAAATAATATGACTACCGTTTATGTATTATTAACACATTTATAATCTACCTACAAAATAGAATCTACAAATTGAATAGGAATAGTTCTATATAGTGAAAAATGTCATTTTGTGCCGTTAGTTTAATGAATTTGAGGGTTTTATTTATCAGTAATTATAATAAGATGAATAAAATGATTAATGATTAAAGGTCATAGAAGTGGTAAAAAAAAATAAGAATACCATATTATTTATGAGTAAAATAATGAGAATTTAAAACAATCTGAAACCACCAAAACTATGCGTATGTATAAAGTACGTCTTATTGTTACCTTGGCCTTCATTATGATTCATAAATACTCTTTATATATCACCTTATTTATTTATTTTACACCTTTATTACCTTAAACTACTGTTCCAAAACCATTTTAGTAACCAATTCATTTAATACATTGAAATAAAACTTCAGTTAACTGATACTGTAGACCTGATTCATATTTATCTGTAGAATTGAGATAGTAATTGATTGCATCAGACGACGTAAACTTGTTTATTTACACATCATGCAACCAACTGAATATCATTCCATACTCTATCTAATAAGTTACGCATTCAATGTCATTGATATATGACATTTACCAACTCATGTTGACATTTTGCTATAATGAATACTTAGAAAATTTTTGCTATTGATTTAACGTACGTAAAAACCTTACATGCACTT